TACTGGAACTCTTTCCTTTTTCCTGATTCCTAAGATGTTTAACAGTTAGATTTCCTTATTGAATGCAGAGGCTGGTTGAAGGGTATCTTCTCAGAGCTGCCCAAAGAAGCGACATATTTGCCCATATTCTCATTTGGCATTTGCAGGTAATTTTAATATATAGTGGACTCTGCAAGATCTTAATTTTGCTTGAAACCGCGACGGAGATTTGTTAATTGTTAAGCTATATTTTGTATAATTCCAGGGTGAGTCTGTTCAGGAAACACCAAAGGATGGTTCTATCGATAAGGTTTGCCTATTATTATCCTTTTTTACTTATAGTTCTGTATAAGCATGAGTTTGTTCTTGGAAAGTATCTTCTGGAAAAAAGATGTAGTGAGACAGAGAGTAGGTTGTTTAGCTATAGATAGCTGGAGAAACTTCGTTCTATAGCTAAGGACTGGTTGGGTTAAAAATTTGAGCTCTTGATTTTTTTTGGTAATTTTTCAGAATGCAGCATTCCAAGAAATTTTGCCAGAGGTTCGGCAGCATATCATTGATGGTTTCACTCCCAGTGCCTTGGACATCTTCACTAGAGAGTTTGACTTCTTTGACAAGGTTACATCTATTTCCGGGAAGTTATTTCCTCTTCCAAAGGAAGAACGCAGAGCTGGTATCAGGAGGTAGAATTTTAATTTTACTAAACCGTACGGACAGGTATGCCTGATGCAAGTTTAATTTAAAACTTATTATTGCAGGGAGTTAGAGAAAATTGAAATGCAGGGAGATGACCTTTATTTGCCAACTGCTCCTAGCAAGCTTGTCCGGGGTATTCGAGTAGACAGTGGAATACCCTTACAATCAGCTGCCAAAGTCCCTATCATGATAACTTTTAACGTTGTTGATCGTGATGGTGACCACAGTGATGTAAAACCACAGGCTTGCATTTTTAAGGTAAGCCTTAGTATGATTTTCATACAATTTTTCTAAGTTTGTAGGTCGACGTCAAAGCTATTCTACTGTGACGTTTTTTTGTTTAGCAGACCAAATTACTTTGCGTGTCACATTCTTCCACTAAATATAGAAAACAAATGTCGCCAGGTGGTATTTACTGTGAGTCTGATCTCTCTTGTATTCAGGTTGGAGATGATTGCCGGCAAGATGTTCTTGCCCTTCAAGTGATATCTCTTCTTAGAGACATATTTCAAGCGGTTGGTCTTAATCTTTATCTTTTTCCATACGGAGTACTCCCAACTGGTCCCGAGAGGGGTATTATTGAGGTAAAACACTATCTAAAATGTTTATTCTTAAACCCATTTCCTTTGCTAATAAAAATGAATATGGTGGTATGAGAATTTTCATGCATAGACTCATACGTTTTTTCTTATATGTGTCTCTTTTCATTCCTTTTACAACAGGTTGTGCCTAATACACGAAGCAGAAGTCAAATGGGTGAGACAACCGATGGGGGTTTGTATGAGATTTTTCAACAAGACTATGGACCTGTCGGCTCAGCCACCTTTGAAACAGCACGAGAGAACTTCCTCATCAGCAGTGCTGGTTATGCTGTCGCTAGTCTTTTACTCCAGCCCAAAGACAGACACAACGGAAATCTCCTCTTCGACGAGTATGTTTCTTATTCCACGCTCTCCTTCGAAAACTCCCTTGGGACAAATATAATGCGGGAAATTTCATGAAAATTACCACAAAGTATCTTACCGTCTGTTATGCTAATGCAGCTCGGGAAGACTTGTCCACATCGACTTTGGTTTTATTTTGGAAACTTCACCTGGTGGAAACATGCGGTTCGAGAGTGCACATTTCAAACTGAGCCACGAAATGACTCAGTTGCTAGATCCCTCAGGAGTTATGAAGAGCAAAACATGGCATCAATTTGTGAGGTAAAAATATTTCTGAATCTCTCTCCAACTTCTCCTTAGGAAACAATTGTTGGTTCTTTGAGATTATTAATTCTTTTTTTTCTTTCTGCAATAAAAAAGCTTGTGCGTGAAAGGATACTTAGCTGCTCGACGATACATGGACGGAATCATAAGCACGGTACAAATGATGTTAGACAGTGGATTGCCTTGCTTTAGCAGAGGAGATCCAATTGGTAATCTCAGGAAAAGATTTCATCCCGAGATGAGCGAACGCGAAGCTGCGCATTTCATGATCCATGTCTGTACCGATGCGTATAACAAATGGACTACTGCTGGTTACGACTTGATACAGTATTTGCAACAAGGCATCGAGAAGTGATTGATACCAAAATCAAGAGTGTTTTTTTACATAATTTGCAGGTATTAATTTTCGTATTCTGATTCGCTAATTCTCCTTTATTCTCCTCTCGATTGGTGTTTATTTTAAGGAGAGGAACTTGAAATTTGTTTAATTTTTTGTTTGGTTTCTCATAGGGTTTTGCTAATTCGATAACTTGAGGTGCAAGCTGGTATGATATATAATTGTTTAATATTTTTCTTCTAAAACCACGTTCAATGGTCACGTATTTGATTGATACATTATAAATTCCTTGCATTATATTAAGAAAAAGTATTGTTTGATTCATTGTTGATAATATAAAGTTATAAAATTCGTTCCACACATAATCCGGTGTACCACCAACGATCTGCACATGACCGTCAAAATTACACTGGTAGATAAGTTCCACAATACTGTGAGAGTGAGTAATTTAATTGCATATAAGAGATACAAAATGGAAGCAAATATGGAATCATGGATTCCTACGACAAAGAAGAAAAATAAGCAGTTCCTGCATCATCAATAGTATAGTATAGTTATACGTCTTTAAAATGCCAGAAGAAGTTTTCCACTTGGGGGAAAATGGGAGAGGGCTTCCTCCTGCTAATAGGTCTTCCAAATACCAAACTGCGCTTGCATTTTTAGTTAGAGACCCTGATGCTTCTCTCTTAGGGTGTCCTAAGAGAACATTGTACCCCACTCTTTCTCAATTTCTTAAGAGCATAGGAGAAGTCTTCGTTTCCGACTATATTTGCCGGGCCATGGCCACTGTAATCGCACCAAAAGCGTGGAATCTATCTCCTGAAAAGATAAGAAAACACCTTGGTTAGTTGCCAAATAACATACAGAATTGTGGATTTGGGTTTCGGCCAAGAAACTCAATTTAACAGAATGAGAGACAGTGTTTTAAGGAATTTCACCTTCGCCTTTAACTTGTTGGAGCATGAATCCGGTGCGACTAATGTCATCAACAATTTCCTCCTTCATACTAATCGTATCGCCATAAGGGAAAAACGAGATTAGACCAAAATACTTCGTATTCGAAAGGGCCGATCTTATATTCGAACCAATATCGACACCATCAGGAACATCACAAGTCCTAATATCCCAAAACACTGCAGTCTTGTCCATCTCCGTGCTACTAAGCCTGAGAGAGAAATCTGTACAACGGTCCTAAGACCTAGTTAATCTTTTTTTTGGTAAATAATAAACAAAGAAAAAGGAAATCCTAGTTAATCTAATTACCATTTTTAAATAGGTAAATCTTACATAATCATAAGGCGCCCTCAAGGATCTGTTATAAGATTCCCATTACAAAATTTAATCAAGATCAGACTTTCTTTCTAACTGGTGTATATGGAAACCCAGTGAAAGAGAAAAGGAGC